AGGAATGGTAGACGTTTATATCGGTTTCGTCCCCCTTTCCTTTATAGACCGTACTCATCCTGCTTTGTTTCCACACATTGGGAGCTTGACCATTAATTATTGCTTTTCTCTGCTTCTGTTAACGTGTGCTTTTAGTTTGTCCCTAGTTTCTTTGTTAGCATGATTGGGATGCCGTCAGGGCCCGTAAATGTGCTATTTGAGACTCTTTTCTCTGCCTGCTCCCATTCTCGTTATTCCACTGGAGCCATTGAGCTAATTGGTCTATCCTCATCTGGTACGGTACATTAAGCACTTTCTTGGTGTTCAAATGTTTCTTTCATCTTTGTTTTTACATATGTCATTGCCTCATCCCCTTCAAGTCTGACCCCTTGAAATGTAGGTATAAACCTGTGTTTCATAAATTTTCTTATTACTCAAAAAGTTGGGATTGTTCCAAAACTTTGCAGCTGCCTATCTATCCTTTTTGTTTACTTCCGCCATCCTCTGGACCCCCTTCGAATCTTTTGACTGATGAAATCGAACGCTTTGCCTCTGCAGCTCAAAACGTTATCCCATTTTCTTTTGACATGATCTTCCGGTTCACACCTCTGTTTAGTATACGTGTGTACCCTGGATGCTCCCTTAACTTCTTCATCCACCCAGCTCTTGGGTTTGTCTGCTTTTCCTGGTTGATTTGACTCGTACCTTAAAAGGCTCTAGCTCAAACATGCGAGTTATATTTGTGTACGTACCTTGGCTGAATATTTTCTCAATCTCTTTAGTTGCTATATCTATTTGCCTTTCTGAATAAATACTACCGTTTGGTTGCTCGTAATGCCGCCTTTCCAATTTCATTCCTATTCCGAAACTCAGCTTGAAATATTTGTGATCACTACCTAAGCTTCGGGACGCATATTTATCTGTGTTCATCCCCCTTAGCCGGTAATACATCCTATGTGACATCGTTGTGTAATTTATTGTCTAGTGCAGCCTTCTCACATCCCTTGTTATGTTACCTTCGCATTTCTCGGTGCTGACGCAAATGATTAAATCATGCCTTTCACACATATCCATTAGCATTCTGCTGTTGTGTCTGTATATTCTACCATATCTTCTATGTGCGCATTCATATCTCCTAATATAATTACTTCGCACTCTTCTCCCAGTTCCTCAATATCATTTCCTATGCACTGCACCTTTTGTTGATTTTCCTCTCTGGCTTTTGCTCTTATCCAAAAGTGTATAAAACCCAGCAGAGTCATTTGCCGTGCCACTTTTTATTTTAGCCATATATGTTCCTTGTACTCCTGCTTAACCCTTTGCCAGCCTGTACTTTTATGAATGAATGGCCCGATTCTACCTCCTCCCTTTTCAACTGCCTTCTGTTCCATTACAATATTCCCACACGTAGTCCGGATTGTTAGGAGGTTGTCCCATGTCCCTAAGGTGTGTTTCTACAAAACCATTCAGCATCGGCCTTTTCCACCTTAGGTGTTCTTTTATCTCTTTCCACTTCAGCTTATTCCTGCCACTCTGCATTTTAATATATATCCTACATCTGAATTGGCTTGACCCTCGTGGCTACGTCAATTGCTGCCCCTGACTCTACGTGTCTGAGATATGGTGCCACTTTGGATCGAATCTGTTTTTACCACCTGTCAAAAAGTCCCTCTGGTTGTTTTCCTTGTTACTAGCTATGCTGCACCCCGAAGGGCCCGCGTGCTCCCTAAAAAAGCTACTGCGCGTCCTGCAAGTCGCCGACCCCCCTCATTACCTAGCCTCCCATCGAAGTGAATTTTGTCTCGTCGCTCACTCTAATGCTTCACACAGCCCGTCTCTAAACTAGTATAACCGGAGCTAGAGTAGTCTGGTGAATTGGGGGGAAAACATCAGGCACTCATCGCATCAATGTCGCTGACGCCTGCTGATCCCGCAGATTCCAACCACTGTTACGGAAGACGGCGACACCAATACAGTCCCGAAGGCGCCACTGCTTCTAACTCTGCCGGGAAGGTCACCAGCCGTTTGGTAGCGTAGGTTTCTCAGCTCATGACTGCTTCTGCGCAGAGCTGATAGACGAGCGGACGAGACGACGGTGAATTAAACAAGGTTTATGTACAGCATATATGCAGAGGCGTTACAAATTCGGCATTGGGGCCGACAGCTTAGAGACTCGAAGAGCCGAGCTCTCTTCATTAACACATAGATCTAGTACTCGCGACCCGCCGCAGGGTTTTTTTATATGCACCGGGAGGACTCTTTGAGTAACCAAAAGTCCAACCAGAAGCGCCGCTGGCCGTGAGGTCAGAATCCTCCAATAGGGTCGCCGCTGGACCGCGTCATTCTCAATGAATCCCGAGCTGCTGCGCGTAGTTGCAGCCAAGGACGAGTGACGTCACCACGCATTGCATAAGACTCACCAGACAAGAAGGCGCCTATTGCTGCAACGGGCTCGCTGTGCGTGCGCGACAGAAAGGCACCGCCGCGTGATGACGCCGTTGAGTTGTTCGCGTTAGGCGGGCTCGCGTGCTGGCCTTAACACAGATTGCCTTTTTCAGAGGCATGGACGTTCACTGTAGACTCACAGGCATAACTGTAGTCAACGCAGTCTCCAGCTCGGTGATTTTTATCGGCAGTTCACTCTGGGCAACCATCATTTTCTTTATTTTTTTCTTCGACCTCATGTGGCTTACACGTGGCATCGGCCTCCTCTCCATTCGCCTCTCCACCTGGGTCCATTTTCAGAACCACCCCGCCTCCGAAACATCTTAAAGCCTTTTTAGCCATGTATCTTTGACACCAATTGCCATTATAAATTCTCCCACTGAATAATTACAAAACACGGGGTTCGATGAACCCCTCCCTACGAAAAGAAAGAACGTCTGAGCTCTACTACAAAGTTTGCGTGTTCGGTGTACGTGCTCCTCCCCCACAGCGTGGCAAGAGAAAAACAAACGCACACACACACACACAAACTAGTAAATACCTGTTGACTGACCCCCAAAAAAGCCGGACAATGTAATAAGTCCTACAAAGGTTTTAACTGCTGCACTAATAGTTTTAACGGCAAGCTCAAAATATCAGCTTTATCACAGTCAACTCGGCTACCCGCCCTATATCTTGCCTTCTGCCCGCACATTTCACGGCACCACCCATTCCTTTCATGTCGGCCGGCCACGCACCCATACCACGCCATTTTCCGCCTCCTTCGTTTTTCGTGCAGCTTCCGACTGCAATGGCCTTTCCACTTATCTCGCCACCATAATGTGCCACTCAACATTTACACAAAATGTCACTCGTTTCTTTTCAATTTGAATACATTACATTGTTCCTTTTTTTGCCACTGGTTCTCACTTTGTCTTCTTTTTTTTGTCAAGGTGTTACGCCTGGTAATAAGTATACTGATCCTGCACATGTATTACTTTATTTCTGTATTGGTTACCCCTGTTCATACTTGTACCCATCCTGCATATGTATTACATTTGTTGTATGTTTCCAACCCCTTATGTAATACCCCCTCTAGGGGGTCTTTAAGGTGATAAAGTGAAGTGAAGTGAAGATATGCAAAACCACTTACCTGCTCAGTCGATTGGGAGCGCTCTGAGTACGGTGGCAGCGGCGCCATCTGACGGCTCACAGCACAGCACGCCCTCGAGACCGAACATTATCTGGCCGCTCAGGCGCGCTCAGTGTCAACACCTGATCATTCTTACACCATGACCAGTACGCTCAGTCGCGTGCCCTTATCTTGCAGTGAGAAAGATCACACGTCTTAGCTAGCCTTGGGGTTTCGCCACAACGATTCTGCTGTAGTGACCGGGCGCATCAAGGTCACTGCTATCGTTGCACAGCCTCCGTTCGCGACAAGGGCGCGCTTTTCAGACACAGCGAAGTAGCAGCTCAGACGCTTATTCGCGTGCATCTGTAGCCGTGAGTACGTTTCGATGTTTCGTGCTTCAGTTGTGCGTGAGAAACGCAGGGCACGTTTCGATCTGGTTGTCATTCTGCGCGTGACCTTCAATTTCTTTTCATCGCGTTCATTGCAGCGTCTTTTCGGCAAATATGTGAGGTTTTTAGAACACGCAGGCTTCAGCTGTGCCTGCTGCAGGTGGGGGGCACGAAGTCGATGCCGAGGATGCCACGAAGGTGTCCTGCGGCAGCGTTTTTTTTCAGTTGCCTCTCAGAGGCGCCATTTGTACTCGTAGAAAAGGTGCGCAGGAAGAGCGCTTAACGACGGTAGACGTAAGGACGGGAGCGCAAAAACACAAGACGTAAGGCCGGGAGCGCAAAAACACACGTCCTGCTCGGTTGAAATCTCACTCGTCTCTTCCCGGCAAATGTGAGCACGTTACTGCCATGCACCGTTGCCCGGCTGTCGAGCCTCGTGAAGTTGTTCGAGGTGCAGGCAGAGGATGGCCAACCTCTGAAACTGTCCTTTACTGCACCGACTACGGCATTGATTGACAATTGTCAAGCGAGGACATTACGCATCAGGGCTGGAGTACAAGCTCTGTTATTCAATTCAAACGTGAATGTTTTTGTGAATCTGTAATTCTGTGAATCTGTAAACTCAATATATTTCTTTGTGATTATGAGCACCATTGCAAGTACCTATCGCAAGAAAACGGAATATAAGGGTCGAGCATTAACCATAGGAATGTTTTTGCGAGCCTACTAGTTCCGTGTTCGTGTGGATTTATCTCCAAATGGGTGGTTGGGTTACACAGACAAAGCACAAATAATATACAGGACACAAAACGACAGGCACAAGTCTTGTTTGCTGTATTTATTTCATCGTCAATCAGCATTAACTAAGCGCACTTTTGAAGTTGAATCTACACCAACTAGCCCACATTGGAACTCTCCTCGTACAATATTTTCTCTGTGTACTAGGCCTAGCATCCGGTCTTGACACACACACGTAAGTCGCGCCGTTGCAGTTACCTACCTTCCTTATGCCATGCGATATCTTCGAATCTTTCAGTTTAACTAATCGAACTCATGCCTTTGACTCCACGTAGATGAACCTGCTGCCCCAATAGTGGCTACTGACCCCGTGAAAGAAGGTGCATTGCTGGGAAGCCGTCTTGCCCTTCACATTCCTATGGTGCTTGTCACATTGGGAGTTCACGGTGCGCTGCTGGTTGAGAGGTTACCTTCGGAGACAACGAAGGAAGTGAAGGGAGGCCAGGTAGAGTGTACAATCATTAGTGAAAATTTTATTTGCCATTGTGCATCCCAGAATGATGTATTTCAAGATGCAATTAGGAGAGTGTCGGTAATTTTATGAGTGTGATTGTTTATTGCACATTTCTATGCTCACTTAACTATGAAGTGGTCTTGAGCATATGCCTGTACATAAGATGAATCACTAAGAAATAAATGCGTAAGACAAAATAAATCTTATTCTGAATGCAGCGTTTCGAACCCTCACTTCCACGCTCAGAAGGCGCATGCCTTAAGGCGCGTTTTACACTAAACAGACATGGCACTAACAATCCCTGACGAAAACACCTGGCAGACGCAAACCATCGGCCGACGAGTCACCCACCGACGAAGTCACCAGTTGCCGTAGTCACACTTGGTCGATGATGACGACAACGCGTCGAAAGACAGCATTTCATCGTAGTGAAACCTAATGAGAGACCGAAAACACTAGCGAAATGCATCAGCAGACCTCGAGCTTGAGCACACCACCGAAGTCTTTTTGTTCGCTTCCCATTGTGTCCAGCACTCCCGTCCCTCATTAGCATGGATTATGACGGAGGCTGTGCCGTGTAGTCGGAGAGGGAGAATGGCAAAGCGAGGAACATGCTGAAAATCAGGTGCAGGTGTGCAAGTTTAGTGGGTGTCGCTGGGTGTGCCTCAAATGTGACTACATAATTGGCTGACGAAAGACTGTGAGTGCAACAAAGCGCGAGCAAGGTCTTCGAGAGACCACCTACGGACTGTTTGTGTCTTTGTAGTGTACATATGCCGACGACAAGAGAAAAAACACTGCTCGAGACATCCCGCAGACCAATATCGGTGCCATGTCTCTCTAGTGCAAACGAGCCTTTACTGAGCTAAACACCTCTTTTTTAAATGCGAATCGTTTCTTAGTGAACTTAGGTGACAATGAGCGTATCTATCTATCTATCTATCTATCTATCTATCTATCTATCTATCTATCTATCTATCTATCTATCTATCTATCTATCTATCTATCTATCTATCTATCTATCTATCTATCTATCTATCTATCTATCTATCTATCTGTCTGTCTGTCTGTCTGTCTGTCTGTCTGTCTGTCTGTCTGTCTGTCTGTCTGTCTGTCTGTCTGTCTGTCTGTCTGTCTGTCTGTCTGTCTGTCTGTCTGTCTGTCTGTCTGTCTATCTATCTATCTATCTATCTATCTATCTATCTATCTATCTATCTATCTATCTATCTATCTATCTATCTATCTATCTATCTATCTATCTATCTATCTAATCTATCTATCTATCTATCTATCTATCTATCTATCTATCTATCTATCTATATATCTATCTATCTATCTATCTATCTATCTATCTATCCACCTGTGACTTAGAGCTCGAGAGAACGTATCGTTAATTGGATTTATACCAAAATTGGTATGGCATAACAAGACTGCATTGCAAACATGACTGCCTGGCGATATGATAAAAATCATGACTAACTTGCCATGAATAGTATTGTCTACACGCCATAGCTTTGGTGCTCCTGTGGCCGTTTCCTTAACCTAATATATCTAAAAAATGGCGCGAAGCATTCTTCGTGAACAACGTAAAGTACAGGCAGTAATACGAAAATTATGACGTGCATGTGACGTACAACATAAACATAATTCACATGCTGAAATACGTGGCGCAAGCTTGACAAAGAGAAAAAAAGACGAAACAGAAAGAGCGCCAACTCACAACTAAGTTTATTTTCATGAAGCATTCACAATATATAGTCTCTTGAAGGCTATGGGCAGACCATTTCATTCAGTGCAGACATGAACATTTTTATAATGTAATAACCGATAATTGCGATAATAATTGCAAGTCCTTTATTGCTGGTTTTTTCTCGTATTTTTTTTGCACAGGCTTGGGTGTGTTTGGTTTTTTCGACGTCTTTACCTTAGGCATAGCTGTTTGTTGCTGGTTCCCAGAAATCCCACGTATGTCAGCCTAATAAGTACCAACTAGCCCAACATAACGTACTGTTAATAATTCACATGCTATGCTCATGGTGCGCTGAAGACAGTTTCTCTACCTTGATATATATATATATATATATATATATATATATATATATATATATATATATATATATATATATATATATATATATATATTCGTCAGGGCATACGGCCTTCGCCGTATGCCCTGACGAAGGCCGGTCCCCGGCCGTAACGTTGGCAATGAAGCATCGTTTTTCGTTTGCTCGTTCGCTTCTTCTGGTGACTTAATATATATATATATATATATATATATATACAGCAATCACTTGAAAAGTTTGCCTTGTGTTTAACTGGATAATATATATGTGTGCATATGTGTGTATGTATATGTATGTATATATGTGTATATATTTGAAATTGTGTAGAATTATCACCCGTGTGTTTTTTTTTCCAATCCTTGCGTATGTGACTCTGTTTCTGGAATATTTATTATGCTGTACATTTTGAATTGTATTTTGTCGCCATGGTTGATCATGTATTCGTAAATTTTGTATATCAGTTTTTCCCTTTTTTTTTGTAATTCCGAGAACGGTACTTTGCTTCCGTATTTTGTTCTTGTTCAACTAGGAACATTTTATGATTGTACTTCCCACCTGCTATAATCCCTCATGTGGGATTGCAGTATCTACAAATAAATAAAAATAATATATATATATATATATTTATATATATATATATATATATATTATATATATATATATATATATATATATATATATATATATATATATATATATATATATATATATATATATACATACATATATTGTGACGTGGCCGAAGACAGGAGACTTCGTGTTGGCATTTAACTGTTTATTTGGGCGAACCTGTGCCCGGTAAACGAAAAGTTCAATTACAGCAGCAGTCTTGCACAGATAGCAGTCTCGGACTGATAGCGGCGAATGGAGCGTCGGCCTTCGGTCAACAACTGACAAGCGGCGAAGCGCGTCGCCATTTATACTCTTGCCGTCGAATGTTCTAGCGTTATCGCTGGCGGTGGCGTAGGTTCCAGAACAATCTGTACTGTTCGCACAGTGAGCGTGATCTTATCGAAATGATCTACTACAGTCCGGAACCTTCTCGAAAACTGCAGACGCGGTTTGCGCTGAGAATCGTGTGGTGTTTTGGGACGATAACAAAAAACTTGGAAAATGGAACGTGGAATTGCCCCCCTCTGAAGAAAGGCATCGTCCCGATGCTTTAACTAAAAATGAAGGTACAACAATAATGCAAGAAAGTACAAAGAATAAATTACAATACAACAATATTACAAAAAACACTGTTTCAGTTTGTTAACGCGCATGAAACGGCTTGAGGCGCGTGACATCGACGACTTCAGGTCACGATCGGCGTCGTTGAGAGTTCGTGATGCCGTCGGGGACAACCTCGTAATCAAGTGGGCCGAGACGTCGAACCTCCCTGTACGGTCCGAAGTACCATCGCAGAAGTTTTTCACTTAGTCCACGTCGGCGTATCGGCGTCCACACCCAAACACGTTCACCGGGCTGGTAATCCACGAAGCGTCGTCGAAGATTGTAACGGTGGCTGTCGGTCGTCTGTTGATTCTTGATACGGAGAACGCGCAAGTTGTCGGGCTTCTTCGGCGCGTTGAAGGTACTCGCTCACATCGAGGTTTTCTTCGTCGGTGACGTTAGGTAACATGGCATCGAGCGTCGTTGCCGGGCTCCTTCCGTAGAGCAATTTGTATGGACATATCTGCGTCGTCTCTTGCACCGCCGGTGTTGTATGCGAAGGTCACTTACGGAAGAATGACGTCCCACGTCTTGTGTTCGACATCGAGGTAAATTGACAGCATGTCGGCGATCGTCTTGTTAAGCCGCTCAGTGAGGCCGTTGGTCTGTGGGCAGTACGCTGTCGTCCGGCGGTGGTTTGTTTGGCTGTATGCCAAGATCACTTGAGTTAAGTCGGCAGTGAATGCCGTTCCTATGTTGGTGATAAGGACCTCCGGGGCGCCGTGACGTAGGACGATATTTTCTACGAAGAACTTAGCTACCTCAGATGCACTGCCTTTTGGCAGGGCTTTTGTCTTCGGCGTAGCGGGTGAGGTAGTCGGTAGCTACCACGATTCACTTGTTTCCGAAAGCCGACGTCGGGAACGGCCCCAGAAGGTCCAGACCAATCTGCTGGAAAGGTCGGCAACGGTGGATCAATTGGCTGCAGAAGTCTCGCTGTCCTTGTCGGCGGTGTCTTGCGTCGCTGACAGTCCCGGCATGTCCTCACATAACGAGTGACGTTGGTGGTAAAACGGGGCCACTAGTACCTTTCCTGTATTCTCGCGAGCGTGCGAGAAACACCGAAGTGCCTGCCGTCGGATCGTCGTGCAGGGCCTCCAGGAGTTCTGGTCGCAGAGCTGAAGGCACCACAAGGAGGTACTTATCCCGAAGCGGTGAAAAGTTTTTCTTTTGTAGAAGACCGTTTCGTAGAAAGAACGACGCAAGTGCGCACTTGAATACCTTCGGGACTTCGGCGGTCCTGCCTTCAAGGTATTCTATTAGGGCTTTGAGTTCCGGGTCAGCCTGCTGGCGTTCAGCGAAGTCGTCGGTAGTTATCGTTCCCAAGAAGTAGTCGTCATCCGGGTCGTCGGATAGCGGTTGGTCAACAGGTACACGAGAGAGACAGTCGGCGTCGGAGTGTTTTTGCCGGACTTGTAAATGACAGTAATGTCATATTCTTGAGGTTTCAGGCTCCATCGTGCGAGGAGATCTGAAGGGTCCTTCAAGGTGGCTAGCTAACACAAGGCGTGGTGGTCGCTCACAACTTTGAAGGGCCTGCCGTAGAGGTAGGGGCGAAATTTCGACGTAGCCCAGATGATGGCGAGGCACTCCTTTTCTGTTGTAGAATAATTTGTTTCTGCTTTGGATAGCGATCGGCTGGTGTAACTAATAACCCTTTCAAGTCCGTCAGCCCTCTGCACTAGAACGGCGCCAAGACCTACGCTGCTT